ATCTGTGTCTGTCTCCCTCCCTCCCCTACTTCCTTCTAAATCCTCCCTCCCTTCCTTTCTTCCTTCCCGCTTCCTTCCTCCCCTCCTCGCTCTCTTCCTTCCGCTCTACCCTTCTTTCCTACTTCCCTTCTTCTCCCCTTCTGTATAATACTTTCTTCCCTCCCTCTCTCACTTTCATCCTCCCTTCCCTCCCCTTGATCCTCCCTCCTTTCCTCCTTCCCTCCCCTCCCCTCTCCTCCTTTCCTCCTCTCCCCTCTCCTTCCCTCCCCCTCTCCTCTCCTTCCCTCCCCCTCTTCCCATCTTCCTTCCCTCCTTTTCTCCTTCCCACTCTCCTCTACAATAGACAGAACAGCCAACGCCTACCAGCGCGGGGGAGGAGTGAGCCTGCAACTCGCGAGGGTCGAGGCCTGGCGTCGCAGAGGGCGTCGCGAGACGCTCCGCGGTCTCGCCTTCCCTTGACCACAACTCCGTAACTCTATATATGGACGCGGCTGCTCCCTTCTCTCCGCATCCGAGCCTCTTCAACTGACCACTCAAAGAGTCCTTTCTTATCGTAGGGATGGCGCGGGAGAGGAGGAGGGGGATGCTAGACGAAGAGTTCGTTAAAGCTATTGTCTTATCCGTTTCTCTTAATGAAGAGGCAGAGGCAGTCGAACGTATAAAGTTCGTTTAGTTTTGAACCTTCCCGGCCTTTCCTCGATTAGGCGTAACGACCATTAGATGAGCCAATCGCATCAAACGACTGTGACAAAACACGTGCGTTAAACTTCGAGGAGCATGGCCGCATTCCGCTCTCAGTGGGTTAAACAAGAAAAAAAGGAGGAAAATATTGAGAACTGGTCATTAAGTGTCTTCCGGGTGTGGAATTTTTGCACTTCCGTTATTTTTGTTTTCGCGTGTCACGTCTTTCAGTAGTGACCTCTTTCGCCTAACAGTACGGAAACAATGCACTTCGTCAAACAAACAAGCGAGGATAACATTCGATTGGGTCATTATTACTTGCAATAAGAATTCGTGCTGTCATTTTAAGCGTGTATATTCGTCAAGTTCGTGCGGCAAAAGAGCGAATTGCTCTTTTAACGAAACCAATAACCTCGTTTTCATAAAGAAAACAGACGTAAAATTATAGGAAGAATGCAAGGGCATTTCTCTTACTATTTGTCTGCTGCGTACACAAATGCAATGTCTTACGTAGAGAATGCACGACGCAAATCCGATTCGCAGAGAACAGCCCTTTTCCAACAAGCCAGTTCAGGCCGGTCGACGGAGCAAAAGCGAGTTATTGCAGGTGTGGCGGCTCGCTCCCACCTGATCGCCGCCCCGCCGCAGGGCTGGCGTGCACACAGAAGGCAAGTTTCCCAAGGACGTCGCGACAACCGCAGGCGATGGACAAGTGGTCAAGAAGCAGCTTCTTTCACTTGATTGTTTTCCGACTGTTACATTTTCCTAGATTTGGTTTTCTTCTGTTGGTTGGTTATAGAATGAAATGTGATGTGGTGTGATATTTGTTGGTATACTATTTGGGCAAATTTCATACGTGATTTAGAAATAGAAACTTTCCGAACTGCATGTGTGGAACAGGTGTGTAATATGTTGCAAATAATAGCGAAAGTATATACACTGTAGAGTATCCGAGAAAAGTATGGCATGCTGTGTACACGCTACATGTACATAGACATGCTCATTTATTAACTGTGCTTTATCATATGCACAAATATACACATGAAACTTGTTGCTTAGACTATGAAGAAGCTCAGCTGACTCATCATGTTTGATAACAGTTTATCGCAATCCACGGAGATGTCACCAACAAGTTTGATGAAGTATATAATAGTCTACTTCTTAGTGACATATATATATATATATATATATATATTATATATATTGTATATATATATATATAATATATTATTATAATATATATATTTATATATATATTTTTATATTATATATATATATATTATAATATATATTTATATATATATATTTATATATATATATATATATATTTATATATATATAATATTTATATATATTTATATATATTTTATATATATATATTTATATATATATATATTTATATATATATATTATATATATATATATATATATTATATATATATATATATATATATATATATATATATATTATATATATTTATTATATATAATTTATATATAATATTTATATATATATATATTATATTATATATATATATATTATATTATATATTTATATATATATATATATATATATATATTATATATATATATATTTTATATATATATATAATATTTTATATATATATATATTTATATATATATATTATATATATATTATATTATATATATATATATATATATATATATATATTTATATATATATATATTTAATATATATATATTTATATTATATATATATTTATATATATATATATTATATATATATAATTTATTATATATATATATATAATATATATTTATTATATATTATAATATA